AGGAAGAGTCTGGCAGGAAGCAGGCTCATCAGGGATGGAAATCCCATGCAAATGAGTGGAAACCTCTCGAGGAAGTGGGAGAAAGGATAGAAAGCCAAAGACGAGCTTTAGATGAGCCTGCGTCCTCTTCAGGTCTCTTTCAGCACGATTACGAGCCTGGGATTCAGGCCGGGGAGGAACAGGAGCAGATTGGCTGTGGGCAGCACTGACAACAGCTCGCCCGCTCTGTTCTCCGCTCCACAAACAGCGATGTTTATGCTCATGTTCATGCTGGAGTGAAGGAAGATGATCCAATGTGGGTCACAAGCTGTTCCAGGTCTCCGTCTGCATCATGTGGACACCTTCAACCAGGAGCAAGGCGGCGAACGCAAACACAGATACACGACCGGTAAACAGACAGAGCCGAGTTTTCATTTCATATACTTTCCAGTAAAAGCGCAGGTGACTCTAAATGATTATGACCTGAATGATTATGCAAATCACACGAGTGCACGCAGCATCTGTGGCTGCGAGCAGACGCACCGAGTGCACTCACAGGTCACGTTACTGTCTCTAACAGCTGATTTCTTATAAAAGCAGCGTAAACAGCCTCCAACTAAACTCACCAAACATCTTATAAAGCGTCACATGACCAGAATATGGGTGGAAATATAAAAGACACCTGACGTGTAGTTTTTAGTGGGATCAGGAAGTCAAGTATATTAAATGACGTCTGAAGCTGAGCAGTGAATAACGGCGGAGTGGAGGCTGCGTGCTCGGTAAAAGCTCCAGCATCACGAGGGGCTGAGGTCAGAGGTCATCATTATCTGCAGGTCTGAGGCCAGCGTGTCTCAAACTGTGATGTATGAGGACACCAGGACTGATCAATGATAATGACGAGACACAAACAAAGACACTGGACAGAGCTCGTCCAGCAGGGAGGAAACACGATGTGCCGACTGCTTCCTGACCTCTGCCCTCTGGAAAACTGTCCACACTAACAACAGAGACCTTAAACAACAGATTAGTCATGACTCTGAGCCCAGAGACACAGAGAGAAACCAGAGTGGTCAAACAGACGCCACCGTATCGTTACATCAGCGCTCCAGTCAGCTGACGGTCAGGAGCAGGACACTCCTAGGGTTTCACTGCGACACAAACACACGAGCGTCATCTCCCAAAGTGTTCTTAGAAAACCGTGACAGACGTTTGGTTCTCGTGTTTAAGGACGTTAATGAGACGAATCCCTGGAAAACCGAGACAATCAAACTATTAAACATCACACAGCCAGTTAGTTCATGTAAGAAAGAGCATTTGCATGGCGCGTTTGTCCTCTGAGATCATCTGAACTCACACAGCTCAGGTATTTTAAACATCGTTATATTTCACATAGCAAAGTTTATCAGGGCTCCTTTTTGGTTTTTATATGTACAGTTTTATTTATACTCTAAATGTTAATGATGGTTTCAGTCGTTTTTATCCCAACTAAACATGAACGGATCCGTTTTCATCTTCAAGTTTCTCTTTATGTTTGAACATTTGGCGAATCTCCTTCTGTTTCACTGGACAGCCTCACAGTGTAGAGGCAGGAAGTGGAAATCATGTTGAAGCATACATATATTTTCTGACACAGCAATGAGCCAAGATCTGGAAAAACCTGGAAAAGCTGGAGGAGACACGGACAGACTCACAGAGTCATGAATGACTCGATTAATCGATTCGTTGTTTTTAGATCTTTTTCAACATCCTCAGCCCTGCCTGTTATTAATGTGAACCACTGAACTATCGCACAGCTTTTATCTTTTTTATCAGTGGGTACAGCACACACACACACACACACTTTGTTTTCATATCTTTGTGGGGACACCTCATTGACATCATGCTAGCTGCTTACCCAGACCGTAGCCCAACTGTAACCCTGACACTGAAACTACATTTTGACTCTCTTTGAACTCGTGGGGACGCATTTGTCCCCAAAAGGGCTGTTGGACCCCACAAGTATACTTCTGATTTCTGGTCCCCACAAAGATATGTAAACACACGCACGCACACACACACACACACGCCGGACTCGGTTTAGCTGCAGATGTACCTTGAGGTCGAAGTGAGCAATCCGCTTGGAGTGCAGGTAGTGGACGCCATCCAGGATCTGCTTGAGGAACTGCGTGGCCTCCTCCTCGCTCAGGGACTCCTTCTCTGCCAGGAAGTCGAAGAGCTCGCCTCCAGCCACCCTGGGCGAGGTGAAAGAAGGACGGGGAGGGGGAGAAAGTGAGATCTC